GCGGTTAAGAGCTCGGCTGCAGTTCTAATCCACCAGCCGCTCCTTGGAAACCCTATGGGGCAGTTCTACTCTGTCCTATAGGGTCGCTATGAGTCAGAATCAACTCGACGACAACGGGTTTTGGTTTATTCCAAACAAGTATCAAATTCAAAGTGAAATGTTTCCTAATTTCCTAGATTGTTATTGATCTGCTACAGTTGGCCTGAGAATGATTAGATTAATTTCTATAATCTCCAGAAACAAGCCCAGGTCCTTCCTAAAATATCTTTCATTTGTGAGGTCAACTGAGCTGACAACCATAACCTGGCAGAGTCCAAGACTGAAGTGGAAAGAATGATGGTGGCTGCCCCACCCCTGAATACCAGCAACACTTCTGTAAGAAAGAATAGGGTGTTCTAAGCCTAAAGTTGTGGGAACAGAAGATTCATTCAGCTATAGAACAGGACCAGGGATGAATTTAATCCAAGTCAGTCACCTAACTTCCTGGGTTTGGTGTCATTATCAGAGATTCCAAGCCTGACACCTCGATCACTTGAGACAGAAAAATCCCGTGGAGGCCAAGACCTGTCCTCAGCTGAATTCTTGTTAGCAGACAATATCAACTTTCATCCAGTCCCTAGTTATCATACTGCTTCAAACCACACACCACAACAACAGGAGGCTAGAGTGCTTTCTATTGCTGCATCCTTTAAAATTATAGGGAAATTTGGTACTGAAAATGGGGTTCTATGTCCTTTCTTGATTGGTAATTCCATGAATTTCTGACTTCCAGAGCCCTTATACTCACACTCTGAATAATTCCACAAAGAGTTTTCATAGCCCTCAAAGAAATGATTTGCCACTGGAGAAAATAATGCTAGCACCTGAGTGAATTGGCTGCTCAGGCCTGCATACTGAAGAGTGACCAGCCAGTGAAGGGAAAACTGAGGACTCACTGGCTTCTCAGCTAGTTGGAGGATGAGGGCCCAGAACCTGGATTCAACTGCAGTGCAGAAGAAACAGAGGTTTTCTTGCGGCTCAGAAGTTTATTAGTGAAGTTGCTTGGACCAGTTGCTGTTTACATGCTTGACCCCTGCAGCCCTGTGTCCAGGAAGCAGAGACGAGGAGGGCCGACTGCTCTGCTGGCCACAGGTGATATCATCCAGAGAGCATGCTGAGCCCTCTCTCCTAGGTCCCAGGTGTCATTACTGGGCTCTGGCCCTATTAGATGGACTACACTTCTGTTTCTTGTGTCTGAGCTGGAGGGATGATATTTTTTAAGATCTCAGCATAGTGGGGGCCGAATACCTGCTGATTGTGATGCATCAGATTAACGAACTTCCATCCCAGCTCTGCCAACTCCCCCTCGATGAGAATAAGGCCTCCAGGGAAGTCTAGCAAAGACTCTTGCATTCCACGAATCAAAGAGCATTTGAGAAACAATCGGATCCGCTGATCTGTGAACAGGGAAAAAACAATGGAAAGGAGGAGAGCAAAGAGGTCTCAGCAGAAATTCACAATGTTCTTGTACTCTCTGCTCACCAAAGTTTTAAATTAACTGAGATATTCATTAACTTACCCATTCATTTGGATTAACCGTATAAATGAGGTTTTGTTTTGCATTGCTTTGCTTTGTTTTGTTTTAGAGGAGGGTCAAGCTCCCAAAGACAACAAACAATACAAAGCTGGTGAGCGAGTAAATTTCTGGCTATTCATAAGATTTCTTTATGTGGCTATAAATGAAATCCTGTTGTGCATTTGACCTAACAAGAACATCCTAGACACTTTCCTGAAATTCTTCCAGGAGCACACATTGCAATCAGTGCACCAAGTTCAGGCCCATACATCCAAGCCAGACTATGTTAAGATGCTAAGGTTAGGAGCAAGCCAGTTAAGTTTACTGCTTCCATTCCAGCGTGGACCATGTCCACCTGCCTAAGTCACCATCAGCTTCTTGGAAGGGAGGAGGGGTTACATGGTAGTTTGAAGTATGGGGCAGAGAAAGGGTTTCTCGTCATTGGTCTTAGACTAAAGTTAGTAAATGACCAGGGATTACTTAGCAGGGTTGTTAGGGCATTATCCCACACCTATAAATTACATAATCTTGGTAAAGCTACACCTTAGAACCATATGTTCACTCTTCAAACTGAAAGAGATCTATTTCAACCCTGCACATTATAGATGAGGACACTAAAGCAAAAAGCCTTCTCAATGATCATGCTTTTCCACTTTTAAATGGTTCACTAACTGACTTCCAGAGTTGGCTCTACCTATCCACTCCCCACCTTCTTGCCACCCCTCCCCACCACCACCTTGGGGATTCTTACCAATGATGGTACGAACACAGTTGTCTTTCTTGGCGATGTTCTGGAGTTGGCCTCTAAGAGATGCTGCGTTGTCACTATTCAGAGCAGTGAGGCCCTTGTCCTTGAGGCCTTGATGGATTTCCTGAGACACCTGCTCACTCACACTCAGCATAACCTCTTCAGGCCTAGACAATAAAGGACAGAAAGCTAGCACCAGAGTGGCTCTGGCATGGGGGTAAAGCCCAGAGAGCCCGATACTCTGGTATTCACTGAGCTACCTAAACATTTGGTTCAACTATATAAATGATATTTTGTTTTGTTCTGCTTTGGAGGAGGGAATACTATCAAGCTCCAAAAGATAATACACAATCAAAAACTGATGAGCTAGTAAATTTCTGGCCAGGTCCACCCAAGTGATGATTCCAGCGCCGTACTACCAGTAGACAGCAAGATCCAGGGGCAGGTACAATACTTTCATTATTACCCTCAAGGTACCAACTAATCTTTACAGACAGTATCATATTCCACTTTAAAGAAAACAAAATAAACTGGACAAGGGTTTGGTTCCATCCATGAATCCACTCAGTATTCCTTGGTCCCATAAACTTTATTTAAATGTTATTTTAAGATTTTCTTGGGTATTTTCATGGTTGTTTTTCCTACTTTACCAATTAAATTGCAAATATATTAAGAGACTTAGACTTCTAATTACTCTTTTTACTTTGATATGATGCCCTGCACACAGTAGGCTCAATCAGTATTACTGACAAACTGATTAACTCCTGGATATACATAACACCAATCCACTGTCACCCACTCAACTATGTAATGACTCATTTGTAGCAAATACAATAATGAATCATTTATAGCATGCTAGCCTCCACACTCCCCTCTTTGGAAAGAAGTTTTAGTTTTCTCTATCCCAAGCCTCAGTGCCACTTATCAAAAGACACCAACAGACTTTGCAGATGGTTCCCAAGGGCTTTTGTGTGGTTTGCAGTGCCTATGTACCAAATACCACATATTATTTTCCACTCTAAGAAAGATCTATGAAGCTTACCTAGAGTTGAATTCCTCAGTCAGGGCCTTAGTGATGCATTTCAGTTTATCCACAAACTTAGGTGAACTAAATAAAACATTGCCAGAGAAACTTCTGGCCACTAGCAAGACAGAAGCCAGGATGGTTAACTGGTTCAACCGGGACTCAATCTCTTGCAGCCGATTTCTGTCCATCAGCAGAGTCTGGTGAGGCAGGGAAGAGCAGGCTGTCAGGACAGGAGGGTTCTAATGGATGCCTTGAACACAAAACAGTAAGGCAATACCCTAAGACACATTCCTACCTCAGGGAACTCTTCATTTTCAGGATCCCAGAGAAGCAGGTTCAGATAACCTTGGTATAGCACCATTGTGGGACTGGGGGGCTCTAAGCTATTAGCTTCCCAATTTGGAGGTGAACTGGCCATGCTGGAGGAGCTGGGAGGGTCAGATGATCTTGGAGGAGGGGTGGTGAGGTCTGTTGCTGCTTTGGTTAGCCACTTGGTAGTGTAATCAAGGAGATCTGTGACAGATAAGGGAATATTTAAGCATCTTCAAATTCCAAGGCTTGAAAATTAAGGCTTTACTTAAGATATACTCTGGGTCAATAAAGAAGTAAAGCAGTGTTTTGTAGGTCTTTCAGTCTCAGACAAATGCTCCTTCTCCCTACCCCTTACCCAAGGAAGAAACTTTCTATTAAAAAAAATAGAAAATACTCTCTAGCACTGTAAGAAGTCAGGCCCAAGGTCAAATCTCCCCTCTCCTGCTCTCAAGTTTTAAACATACTGGGTTGTTTGTTGAGGAGTTCCTGGAATTTAGCTCGCTCATACTCAATGGAATGTTCCTGCAGGTAGGGTCGAAGGCTCCGGATAGTGTAGTTCACCATGTCCATTTTCATCAGGCCCAGAACATGGAAGATACCCCTGTCATAGGAAGAAATAGAGTATTTACACTGTGAAAGGAAATCTTATATGGAGGGATGTAATTTAATCAAGGAGTCTTAAAATTACAGTGTTTTAGAGTTAGAAGGGGTCTTAAAGATAAAAGTCCTATTTCAATTTACAAATAAAGACACTGTGACCAGGGGCTCAGGCCATAGAGTGAGTTGGTGGCAGAGTTTGGGAAAGATAAGTCTCCTGGCCTTTCAGCAACCAGTCTAGAGCTCTTTCCACTATAGTCACTCTGTCATCTCAGAAAAAGAGCGCTCAGTGGAATGAAAATCACTAAAATGCTGACAACTTTCTGTGGGTAGCTGGATTTTAGGTGATTCAATTTCTAATTTCATTGGGCAAATCACTATATCTTTGTGGGTCTTGGTTCTTCTAGCTTTGAAAGAGGAATAATCCCATGCTTGTCCCCTCTCAGGGTTTGAGTTGTAACAAAAAGGATAACACCTAGGAAGGACTGTTTGAAATCTCTAGAAGAAAGGATTATTGTACTCTATCTTAATGTTATCATGTTATACAAGGGGGCCTAAACGATCTAAGGATCACCAAAGGGGCCCTGAGAAATTGTCATTGGAAAATAAAAGCCAATACTCCAGGGAGAAGAAAAGAGGTGTTAGTTAGGTCTTTAGTATATAATGTCTAGACCAGAGTTTTCTGACACAGCATCTGAGACAGATGTCAGGGGCAGTACATCTAGTGTCTCACTTCAGTAAATGCACGGGATCTGTTATGTTCTCTAATTTTTGCACTTCTTCATCTCGAACTGGAGCACACAGCAGTGTCATCAAATTAAGAATGTAGTTAGAGAGATGAGGAACATCCAGGGCCCCATGCTCTGCTTCCTGCTTGAGAAGATCCGTGTCCAGAGCTTCTTCAATCTCATTTTTTAGGCGATTCTGGCGTGGTAACAGCAGTGATAGCAAGATCTGCCCAGAAAAGGAAATCAAAGGAGCCAAATTCTTTTTAGAGCCCCAAACTTTCTCCACTGAACAACCCCCTTAAGCCAAAGGCATCCCAGCCTATGTCTACTGGGGGGTCAGGAAGCTGGGTCTCTAAATTTCTAAGAGAATACTATTTCTTTCTGTTTAGGGGTTAATTAAAATTCAAGGCTTCACTGGGATCAGTTATAGCAGTAGTTCCATTATTATTTTCTAGGCAGAATGAGATAAAGATGTGAATAAAAACAAGAGTGCGGTAAAAAGAAATGCAGAGTATAAAATAAAATATATAAAATACACACCACCACATGGTGATGAGTAATTCTTAATAAAGGAGGACATTTTTAGATTGTTTTACTTCAAAAGGCGAGAATAAAATAGGCAAAAGGAAACATTAAGGAGCACTTGAAATAGCCTTTTGTCTCAAAAGCTTAAGTTCCTTGTGGGCAAGGGCTCTCTTACTCACCTCTGTGCTCCTACAACACATATAGCATAGTGGGGTTCAGTGAAAATTCGTTTAATTAAATATAATGTTGTGTTGTTATAGCAACCTCTCAACTGTTAAGCTTCGTCACATATAAATAAAATGAAAGCTTCTATCTATTTAAGTAGCCGACCATGTTCAGAAAGAAAGTATACTACTTAGGATATCGGTAGCCAATGACACTCCAAGGGTCTAGGGAAGCTTAACAGCTTCATATCCACAAATGGAAGGTACTCACTCCTTTAACCTTTTCTAAAAGTTCAAGAGCACAAGTGAAGTCAGGGGGAGTACTTGATAACTGTTCTTTCAGATGGTCCCAAAAGGCATTGTACATTGTCTCCATGAACTGGCTTTCCGCACTGTAAAAACGTTAAATGAGCAAATAGCTATTTATCTAGAAAACTGATATACAGTCATAATTGTCTACGTCCCAACCAGCATTTAAGATCATGAAAGGCCATTAAACTGACAGGCCAGGAACTATGTTTAGACTTGAGTAGGTTGAATAAATGGGTTCACAACCTCCCAACTGTTAAGCTTAGGGGAAAGGCATTAGCCAATCCCCTCAGACAGACACATCATGGTTCCAGAGAAGTTCTCTTGCTACAATAGAAAGAACCATGAACTAGGGGTGGAGCTCCACAGTTCTAGCCCTGGTTCTCCATCTAATATAACATACTTAACTCAATAAAAATACCAGACAGGGGATTTGAGTTCCATTAGTCCCAGCGTAACCTCCTAATTGATTTCCCTTTCTAAAGGGGTAGATCCCAGAGAGGTGACACAACTAGGTGAACAGAGTGATAATTTGGCTTCTTTTTCAACTCTATCCGAGGTATCTAGCATTTACAATCTACAAAATCAAAATATAAGAATGGGATCTATTTCTCATGCTTTTGAACTGATTCAACTACCATTAAGTCTTGTCAAATGCAAGTAATGTGACTAGATAGTTTCAGTTAAGGAAGATGCTAGGAGACCTGTACTTTGGTGAAAACCTCCTTCATAGAAGCTGTGCCTGGTATGGGTACTTGTTGGCAACAGGCAGAGGTGCTTCAGTAACAGACTAAATTGACTTAAGTGGCCAAATAAGAAGCATTTAAGGTAGGAAATTAAAAATGCTATAAAATATAGATTCTAACAAAGAAATTTAGCGATTAATAAAACATTAGAGGCATTCAATTCATACTTACTAGGTGATTCTTATTATGTATTACAACATCAATGTAATTAAGAAGAACCAAAATAAAGCCTGATTTTAGGGGGTATTATTTATCAATGGGGTTCTGATCCTGATTCACAGAATCTTTATTAAGCTGATTAATGAAGCAGAGAAGTTTCTCTGAAATCTCTTACCCATGAAGAGTCAGCAATATCACTGTTAGAAAATTAATCTTTTCTTCTGTACCTGTTTAATCGGTAGACATTTAAAGGAGTAACTATCCAAGAAGATCTGAAATTTATTCTGTTTCATTATTAACTGGAATCCCAAAATGAACATTCCTACAATAACTGCATTGGTTTAGTCCTTGTTTAAATATAATTTGCTTCTTTGGTCCTTTGATACTATTAATTACACTTATTACTCTTCTGTTTTATTTGTTGTTACTGCCAACCTTTAGGTTAGCAGCCGAGCACTTAACCACTGAGAAACCAAGGCTCCTTATTTAAGACATATTCAAACATTAATTGTATTATTAAATAAAAATGCTTTGAACCTCGTCAAAAGCTATTTGTGTTATGTACCTATGCCAGGAAGAGTAAAATGGAAAAAATATGAGTCTGTACCTGTTTGGTGGTAAAACTCTCTCTTCCATATAGAAATCTTGGTTTACTACGATCTCATGAGCAATGCTCAGCTTGGAAACTTCATTAACTGTCTCTATTAGATCTGTGACAGAAAGACCTTCAGCTCGGCTCTCTGTAAAAAGGCATAGCAGTCATCAATAGGGAAGCCACACAAACAAAATTCCTATTTTATTCAGACATCCACAGAACCAAGTAAAGCCCCAAAATTTAGATTTATCAAATGGATCTTACACAGACACTCTATCATTCTAGTATTTGGGGTTTTCTGAACTCTTTGCCCTCTGACAGTGATGGAATCTCTCAGAGTAGTCAGGCATAGGGAGAATAGAAGTTAGTTTACGAAAAAAAGAGAAGGTGAGACTGACTTAAAAACCTTTCCCTTGAAATGTGAAAACAATAAGTAAAACACAGCAAAGAAATAATAATTTGTGATTTGTAAAAACAAACATTTATCTGAAAGGTACTGCGCTCCCACTATCCTCTTCTTACCTCTGATTCTACACACAAGATGAGAGTTCCGTGAGGTTTGACCAGTTAAACCAAAACCTCAAATGGCTATGACATGGTATGGAAGAGACCTTACAGATCTAAATAATTTGACCCCATGGCAATGCTAATTTTATGTCAGCAAAGTACCCTTGGAAAAGGACATAACACAATTCCAGCCCCATATAATTTAGCTTCCTTCAAATCTATCCTAGGTATCTAGCATTGACAATCTACAAAATCAAACTATAAGAATGGGATCTATTTCCCATGCTTTGAACTGACTCAACCATTAAGTCATGTCAAACGCAAGAAATCATGCTTGCTTCTTTCTCTACAGACAAGACACAAACAAAACAAACCCTCTTTTAATTGTGCTTGCCAATCAGGGGCCTTGGTCCGACATGTAAAGATTAGATGGGGGGGGCGGGGGAGGGAAGACAAGGAAAACAATAAAACAAAAGAGGAGTAGGGGAAAGATGAGCAAGAAAAAAATGCAAAATTGCAAGAGTGATCCACGCCCCTTAAAGGTGCTTAAGCTATACACTGCCTACTCCTTTAACCTAACTACTGTAAAGCACCATCCAAGGAAATGATGGAGCCCTGGTGGTGCAGTGGTTAAGCTTTCGTCTGCTAACCAAAAGGTCAGCAGTTTGAATCCACCAGCCGCTCCTTGGAAACCTTATGGGGCAGTTCTACTCTGTTCTATAGCCTCACTATGAGTCGGAACCGCAATGGGTAAGGAAAAATGATGGCAGAAAATTCTAGACCTACCAGGAGAGTGGTCATCTATGCAGCAACTCTTGTTTTCCTGGCTCTGCTCTGGTGTTTTAGACACATAGGGTGGTGTACTTTCTGCTGCAGTAGAATCATTCTGGGGCATGGTTTCCTCAATCTTAGGCATCTTGATGTTATCTGGAATTGGGGAGAAAACAAGGGGCAAGCTGTTGGTGTCATACCTAGCTCTGACCCAGGGATGGGGGGGCCGGTAGTTCTTCAACTTCCATCTTGTGCCCTGATGACTGAACCTACTGCCCCTAGTTTATCGGGTTAGGGATAATGGCTTCGAGGGTCTCTCAGAGGAACACCAGGGGCCTGAAACAGGCCTTAGAGGAAGCAGAACTTGGGACTGGGGGGTTGCCTTTTCTAAAAATCAAAGAAATCTAACTCTGGGTAAGCAGAAGAGGAAAGGCCCAGAGAAGGACAATGACTCGCCATGCCAGAGGTACACTGTGCACGACTGGCCAAGCTAGGCTAGGTAGGAACCTTCCTCGACTCTGACTGTCTTTAACTGGTCCCCGAATGACCCCCTTCCTCCTTAACTTTTGCTTCAGGCCCGCCTTTGGTGCTGTAAATGGCTGGCGGCCAGGATCAGCCAGCAGGGCACGCTCACAGCCAGCCAGACCCTGGCCTCTCACCTCCTCCCCCTCCTATACCGGCTGCCCCAAGGGTGAGTCTGCTTGTGTAGCCCCTGGACCTCTCTGACGGAATCTTGGGACGTACCATCACAGCTTGGGCAGGAAGGGAGATCAAGAGGGAGGGCGATGGACGAAACCATGAAGATGATGAGGCTTACCTCAAGAGCACCCCTAGCCAACGTTACGTGGGAGAGTCCGGGATTTGATAACAAAGCGTGGCCGGTCTCCTAGGTAGATGATAGTGGGGTGGGGTCACATCCCTTGGGTACCTTCAGAACCCTAAGATTTGAGAAGGCAGACGGGCTGCCATGGGGGGCGGGGTGGGGGCAGGGTGGGGGCGGGTAGAGGCTGGAGGCCGAGATGACCTGTGAGGAGACTTCTGGCTTACGCCTTCCCTCGCAGGCTTGAAGCCCTTAGGGAGCTGGGAATTAATCTTCTCAGGCCCGTTCCTCCTCCACAGGCGGTGCAGTCCAAAGCTTTTCTCTCCCCTTGCCCCTCCCAATATCATTTAAATAACTATTTAGGAAGGAAAGGGAGAATTGTTTTTTGTTTTGTTTTCACTTCGTACTATTCATGTAGCTGTAGAAATAAAGGATAAACAGAGTTGCAAATTTCCAGAATTCCGTTTTGAGTGTTTTTTTTTAATATATATATTTAGAGGACAGTTAAACTTAGGATCTGTTAAACTGTCATTTTATAAATGTGGAAACCAAGAATCATTTCAAAGGGCTGGTCATAGAAGCTGTGTGGTAAAGGGGCAAGACCACAAGCCTAGAGGTGAGAGGGGAGTCTAAGTTTTGGTTCAGATTCTTTCAACTGAATTCCTGGCATATCCTTGATTACATTCTAATTGTGAACCTTGGACCTCATCTGTAACCTGAGGGGTTAAATTAAATGACTCTAAGGGCCCTCATGGACCTCACTCTTCATGGTCCTGATCACTGGGCCTTTCTTCACTCCAGTCTACTTTGTCACTACATGGACCAATTACCATAGTGATATGGAGACTCCTGGATTGGAGATAATGTTAACTTTAGGATTTTTGTAGATGCTTTTTGTCAAGTTGAGGAAAGTTTCCTCTATACCGAGTTTGCTGAGGATTTTTTATTGTGAATGGGTGTTGGATTTTATCAAATGCATTTTCTACATCAGTTGATATAATCATGTTATTCTTTAGCCTGTTGATATGTTGATTACATTAAAATGTTAGATCAATAGATTAGGTTTACAGAAAAAATTGAGCAGAAATTACAGAGAACTTCCATTACTCCCCTCCCTCCACAGTTTCCCCTATTGTTAACATCTTGCATTACTGTGATACATTTGTTACAATTAATGAATGAATATTAATACATTATTATTAACTAAAGTCCATAGTTTACATTAGGGTTCATGCTTGGTATTGTGCAGTTCTATGGATTTTGACAAACACATATCATGTATTCACCATTACAGTGTCATACCAGATAGTTTCATTGTCCTAAAAATGCCTTGTGCCCCGCTTATTCATCCTTTCTCCCTCCTTCTGAACCCCTGTAATCCACTGAACTTTATACTGTCTCTATGGTTTTGCCTTTTCCAGACTGTCATATAGGTGGAATCATACAATATGTAGACTTTTTAGACAGCCTTCTTT